CTTTTTCATTTAATAATTTTTATTTTATAATGTAATACAGTTTAAACTATAAAATAAGATTTTTTTTTTTGCACTAAATTTGTAAGTGCAATAAAATTAAAGACTTATGTTTTACAAGATTGACTTGTAGATTAAAAATGCAATCCATTTTTTGAATTTATTAAAATATTTTAAATAAAATAATATAAAAATAATTTTATTAAGAATTTTTTAATAAATTAATAAAATAAATTATATATTTTTTTACCTTAAAATAAATTATATTTTTAATGCATAATCTATCATATAAAATATTTTTTAATGAAATTAGAGGGGGACATTGTAATTCACCACAAAAATTGAAGGGGGAATAAACTGCTTAAAATAAAATAATAATAAAATAATAATAATAATACAGAAAACCAAAACCCTAGGGTTTTGGACACTCTTCATCGTCTCTTCTGCTCCTTCCATGCATCTTTTCTATCACAAATTTGATCATTTCATAAAAATTTCTACCTTGAAGAAGAAGGCAGAGAGCGAAAACAGCTAGTAAGTTTCAATCTTTCATTCTTCTTCCTTAATTTTCCTTAAAATTTCAGCAATTTTGCCCATATGCGCGTAATGGTGTGACTACTGGCTAATCAATTGCTCAGTTTAGCTTCCTTTATGGATGCAATTGTTTGATGAAATTAGGGAGATAAAGATAGCTATTCGTTCTTGGGTTCTCCAAATGCTGAATCTTTCCCCACTTTTAGCAGGGTATTGAGCTAGAATGGATGCTAGGTTGGCTAATACCTGGCGGCTGACTGTAAATGAGAAGAATTTTATCAAAACTGCATTGCAATCTGAAATCAGAATTGATGGTCGAAAACCATATGAGTACCGGAAAATCACCATCGTGTTTGGCAGGCAAGTTTAGTTCTTGTTGGAATTTGTTTTTATCAAAACTGGGTTATGTTCGAATTGCGTTGGCAAGCCTGTAGAGACGTGAATGTGTGAAATTTGTTTGTATCCGGAGGTATTTGGATTGGTCAGTGTTTAGTCATTAATTGTATAAGAAAGTGATTTTAATTTCAGAACTGTTTTTCTCTCCCTGCATTTTCATTTTTTTCGGGATTCTATACAGCTAGTCCTCAGTAATTGGTTTTCCTGTCTTTACAATTCAAGTTCTTGTCTTGATTAATGCTGCCCTGGATTTCTTATAGGGTAATTTGAATCTTATTTTGCTTATTTAATCAATTAAACTGATGAGTAACGTATGCTAAATTATCTTTTAAATGCTTGATCTTGCCAATTTGCTGGTTTAGGTTATTGTAATTTAAGTTTATAGGAGATGGTTTGATCAAAATTAAATATTTGTGTTACTACGTGGAATTTCTAGGGATGATGGGTCATCAGAGGTGCAGGTAGGTCAGACTCGTGTTATGGGTATTGTGACTGCCCAATTGGTTCAACCATATCGAGATCGGCCTAATGAAGGGACACTTTCAATTTTCACAGAATTTTCACCAATGGCTGATCCTTCATTTGAGCCAGGCCGTCCAGGAGAATCTGCTGTCGAGTTGGGACGAATAGTTGATCGTGGCCTAAGGTGATATTTTTATTTTTGATTTTTTTTTTTTTGGTGCAACCAACTTCCATTGGGAGTTTTTTTTTCAACTTTTCTTAATGTATACACATATTACATGTGCATTTTTGTCACTGTAGCACTTTGAAATTTTTGGAGTGTTCTTTTATACTCAACTTATGTCACAGATTGTCCATATTTTTGAGTTTATTCTGTGAGTGTTATTTTACTTATTATGGAAAAATTATCTAGATTCTGTCAAGATTTTTTAAGCTTTCTGGATCTTATGGGACTTGTGAATTATGATATGATTCTATTATAGTGCAGTTCTGTCCTGAAATAAAAAATTATTTGAAGGTTTTGAGTGATGTTGCAGGGAAAGCAGGGCTGTTGATACTGAATCACTTTGTGTTCTAGCTGGGAAGTTAGTGTGGGCCATCCGTATTGATCTCCACATACTAGATAATGGGGGGTATTTCCGGAACCTTTCTTATGCCTTACTATTATTATTATTATTTTTTTTTTTTTTTCTGCTAGTGTTAGATGTTTATGCTTAGTTCTGACCAATATATTGGTTTCGGAATCAGAAACCTTGTTGATGCTGCAAATATTGCTGCTTTGGCTGCTTTATTGACCTTTCGAAGACCTGAGTGCTCACTGGGAGGAGAAGATGGTCAACAAGTTATAGTTCATCCACCAGAGGTCAGATTTCCAAATATCCTATTCCTGGCATTAATTTTTTTCTTTGTTGAATTGGTTTTCTGGTGTTTATTTTATTAGTTTCCTATTTGAATCCTCAATTCTTATCCAAACTGCATTGAGTTGAGACACTATTAGTCGTCATGCAATTATCTTCTTGCTGTCTTATAGTATGTTTGTTTGTTCCTCTCTCATCTTCTACACAATGCCTGAAAATTGCAGACTAGAGCTGTAGCAGAGCTTCAAGCCACCATTATTGTTCAGTTCCAATTTTAAGCAATCTACAGATCTTAATTTTCTTTCTTTTCTAGAATTCTGACTACCCTTAGATTCAAGTTTTCATGTATATTTTCTTGGGATGCTAGTTTTGTTTATTTTTACTGCTTAACTTTATTGTTTAGCAAAATGTTTTTTTTCCTGAGTATACTTGGGAGTAACATGTATTGGAGCTTTATTTTCGAATGGTATTGCTTGCCAAATTCAAAAAAAAGAAAAAAAAAAAGGAAAAAAAAAGGGGGAAAACTGTTTATTGTTTAGCTTGTTGACTTAATCATATACCCTAATATAATTCTATAAGTTGTTATCCTTGCTCATTTTCCCAGGTGAGGGAGCCACTTCCTTTGACCTTACATCATCTTCCTATTGCAGTTACCTTTGGATTTTTCAATGATGAGAGCATTTTGGTATGCACATCTTTTCCTAATGATATTCTATTTGCTTCTCTACAATGCATCTTTTTTTGTTGCTAAGGTTTCATCATAATGCTTTCCTTATGTAATGCAGGTCATAGATCCAACGCACAATGAGGAGACTGTTATGGCTGGAAGAATGACTGCTACAGTTAATGCAAATGGTGATATTTGTGCAATTCAAAAAGCTGGAGGTGAAGGTGTCACCCAGAGAGTCATCATGCAATGTTTGCAACTTGCTATTGCAAAGGCTGCTGGTATAACAAAGCAAATAAAAGAAGCAGTGAGTTTTCTCTTCCAATTCCAAAATAGAGTGACTGGTGAAAGAGGTGGAGGGAGTGGAGTAGGATGTGGTAATATGACTCTGACTGCAACAAGGGAAAAAACAAAAGAATTAAAATAACCCTGCTAAACCAAAACCTTAATCTGGAAGCCAAAATTTTCATAAGATTTAACCTAAAAATTCTTACAAACACAATCCAAATCTGGATATAGTTTCTTCTTTTTGATGAGTCATCCCTTATTTCTTGCATCAGGTAACTTGATTCAAGTTGCTTGTTTTAGTAACATTTTATCCGTTAAGCTTCTATTGCCTGCTTAAGCGTTAATTTTTCTCTGACACATTGATTTAGGTTGAGACGTACAAAACAGAGAGATCTCTACAAAATATCAAACACCACCCTACTTCTGTTGGCACCATTGTGCAAGAGAGCCAGAACCAAAACAGCAGTAAGGGTGGAGGTATTGAGTCACCAGGAAACCATTTGGAGAGATTAAAGCTGTCATCGGGTGAAACCTGCACAAGTCAATTATATGAACAAAGGAAAACTACTAGGACAGATGGCAATGCAAAGAATTTCATCAGGGGGCCTGCTAGTTGGTAAGGTGTTAGTCTTTTCTTTTTCATTGAGAGGCTTCCTTTCTCTTCATTTTATTATTTTAGCTTGAATATTTCTAAATGCATAAATTTTGTGCTCATCAGGGATCCTTACTCAAAAGGTGTTGATCCAGAATTACTGAAGACTTCACTAGCTTCACGAGGCATGCAGACTTTTTATTCTCAGTAAAATGCATTAACTTTTTCTTTTTTCCTGTCTTGGTAACTGGTTAGTCTCCTTAGTGAAGTACTGGCGGTAAAGACCAACCTGCTGGATTTTGATGTTATGATTTATCATGTTTATTTTCTAATCTGATATGCCAGTTAGAACATGCTTTCAATTAGAAAACCTGCCATCTGGCAGTTTTGTAAAAGTTCACATTTCATAAGTAGTTTTGCTAGTTCATGTTTCACCTAACATTTGCATGCTGTGTGCAGAGTGTTAACTTGAGATACTTTTTGCTGGGACATGATAACTACAAAACCTTACCTGTGTTACCTGTGAATCTGTAGGAATGTCTACACCCAATAAGAAACAAGACTGGGAAAATGAGAAAAAGCCTGATGAAGCTGAGCTAGAGGGGCCTCCAAATGATGCTAATCTAGGCTCTTCAGCTATTCATGAATCTGTAACTGAAATGCAAACAAATAAGGAGAAGACATTGGTAGATGCTGTGAAGCCCAAGAGCAAGAGAAAAAAGAAGGCATCCTCCAAAACTGGTGCAACTTAGACGTAAGTACTTGGTGTAGTTTTATTAAATGTGAAATTGCTCCACGTGCAACTTATTTGATGTTTCCTTCATTATTATCTTGAAGCAGCTTCTTGTTTTGCTATTAAAATTCAGATTGGTTGCAGTTATTAGTCCGTGGATTTTTGGGGTAGGCAATGAAACACGTGGTGTAGCTATTAAGCTTTAGTTTAACATTGGACTTTGGTATGGATACTTAGAAGAGCACTTACATCACACAATTCACAGCTCAAAAGGGCCTGTTACTTGGATCAAGGCATTGAGTTATGACTTTTGCCCTGCCATCTCCAGGGTGTTTTCTTCAGGCATTAGATTTATGTCAAACTTTCTCACTGCTTCCCCCCACCCCCATGTAATTGCCAGAAAACTATTATTATAGTTTTATACATTGATACTCTTGCTTGTTTTGTACTTGTGTGATCAAATATATTTGTCAGTGATAGTTTCATTTTTAAAAATAGACATGCAGCAAATCTGCTAACAATCTCACCCAAATACATCCTTGATATCAGGAATAAAAAATATCTCTATTTTACATTCAATTTAGATAGATTTGACAATTTCACTCATTATGCTTATATGCTTAAAGTTTTACTATAACTTGTCAAGAATCAAAAGGTTGTGATTTAAAATAACCATTAAAAATGTTATTCAAGATCCAAAACATCAATCAAATAAAACCAACTGATAACCTAGTTGGCAGCTTGTATGTTGTTCCTTTTATGTCTTCTTCTACTGCCACTGGTCTACCTTGATTTGCTCCCATTGTGTTTTCTTCAAATTGCAAGCAAGTCTAGAACTAGATAGGTTCTGGTTCTCAACTCTTTAGTATATCTAATTTCATGAATTTAGTTCTGAATGCTCCAATGGTCTGCTTCTGATAAAGATTCTGATGACATAATGCATTCTTGATCATCAGCCATTCTCACCTGTATTTTCTTCCATCATCGTCTTCAAATTGTTTTTCAAAATTCTTCAATGTGCAAAATAGGGCGTGTTTCTTGTTCCTTGTTAAGCTACCTCTTAATTAGCTCCAATATCCCATAAATCAATTAACATATGAAGAAAAAAAATTATTGACATTTAAAGTGTGAAGCTTATCTCTAATTAACTGCACAATATTTATGAATTATTTAATTTTCTATTAGTTGCCAAATGTTGTCTCATTCATATGATCAATGTAGCTTTAAGAGTTTAAATACTAGTATTTCATGGACTTACATGCATAAAACACATCATGCATGTCATGCCAAATTTATGAAGTTACAACAACCATCACAAAAACGATTGGAATCACACTTTTCCTTTTCTTTTGACAGTAATGAATTTCTATCTCTATGGTTGGTACATGCACGCATCTATCATGCTTCTCTGTGCTTAATTTGTACAAGTGGAAATACATATATATACCCAAATCCAATAAAGTCATGAAATGGAATGATTGTTTGGCTGGAACAGAAGAATTGAGGATCTTTTTCTTTTTTTGTACATTGCAAAATAAGGTTCTCCCATTTATTATGAAAAAGGACTGAATTGAAGCCCATCCTAGAGGTTTTTTTTTTTTTTTTTTTTGCCCTTTTTGATGGCCAAAGAATATTTTTATTGAATGGTATGACATAAAAGATTGAGACCCCTCAATTTTGAAGTCGTGGGTTTAACTCTTACAGTTATTAAGTTTTCTTTAATTTCTTTTTCTTTTTTTTCTTTTTTTTTTTTTAAATTTGTATTGTGAATATTTGTGTTGTGTGCAACTATATATTATTCTTGTACCCTGTTAAGTTGTTGGATTTGTAAACCATTATCCAGAACTGTATTTGTGTTGCTATTATTATAAGCTGATGGAGATTGTGCTATTTATAAGAAAAATTTGTGTGGGGATTATCCATTGCATAGATTTGTTTCCTTTTTTTGGATTGTACATGAATGGAATGGTGAGATGCATCCTTTTTTGTATTAATTTCCATGAAGGAAAGATGTATCATTGCTTCGTTCATGAACAGGGAGATGCATCTTTTTGATATTTCTTAACCCCAATGGGGTGACTTAACAGTTAAGAACTTAAAATTCCAAGTTAGAGATATCAAGTTCAAACTTTGAGTCGGGTGGGTGAAGGATTTGAGAATAGAGAAGAGTTATTTCCTATTGTATAACTCATAATCAAATGTATAAAAAAAATCTTTTTGATATTTCCCTTCCAATGTATTAGTGACATAATTTAGAACGAGAAAGAGTAATTATATGGGCTAACAAGAACTTGGCTAAGTTAGTGGTCATCAACTTAGAAAATCTTAATTTGGGGTTGAGATATGGAGTTTAATTAAGTGTATTACAAAAAAAAATAATTATGTGGATATGAATAATTAGAACCATTTTGCTTTATATAGGATTGGATAAGTAGTTTAACCTATGGAGGAAAGAGGTATGGAGAGAGTTATACAAATTCAAATTCTCATGACAGAAGAGGAAATCTTTTATATTTAGAGATTTGGTAAAAAAAAAAACCTTTGTCATTGCTCGGAAACTTAATGTTCTCCAAATGAGAAGGGTGAATTGCATAAAAGGAAGGAAAATACCACATCCACATATAGTCTATTCTCAAATGGTTTATGTATATGATGATTAAAGCAAGGTTTTTAAAATTGGACCGGACCGGTTGGTTGAATCGGTCGGATCGGTACCCAATAATGAAAATGGTTCGATTCATATAAAAAACCGTTTGAGGTCAAAATCAGTCAAAATCGGTCAAAAATTATTCAAAACCGATCAAAAACCGTTCAAAACCAATCAAAACCGATGAAACTGATGGAACCGGTAGAACCAGAAAAACCACCGGTTCAATTTCTCATGCAATTTTCTTTTTAGTTTTTCCAATTTCACCCTCACCATTCCTTTCTTATACCGATTTTAACCCTTAATTTTAATGAAATTACAAAATTACCTATCCCTCTTATCAAATTTCCCTTGTTATTTGAATCTATCGGTTCATCGGTTGAACCGATTGAACCAGTCAAACCAAAAACCAAACCCAAAAATGGTTCAATGATCGGTTCGGTTTTAAAAACCTTGGATTAAAGATTAAGTAAATTTCTGTTTAATTATAATTGTTACATGTACTTTAAAGAAATTAGAATTCTCTGTACACACACACATATATATATATATATATATGGGTTTCTAGATTTTCAGTAAGTCTTGATTTTTCATTTTTACTATATATACATATATATAAGGTTAGATTGTTAAAGATCCTATCAACAAAATTACAATAGAAGATAAACCACAAATGAAGCATGTCACACTTTCTTTAAATAATTATTTTTATATGTATCTTTTAAAATACAAGAATAGAAATATTTTATACAATCTAACTATATTAAATTGCGGGAAAAAAAAAAAAAGGACATTCAATCCTAAAAGCAGACGCTTTCCCTCTAATCCAAGTGCCAAAAAAGGAGGACTAGTACAATAAAATCTCAGATCTCTCAACACTGCAAAAGAATATGAGTTGGAGTATTTCATGATTAATTTAATTCAACAGACATAACTTTTCATTTGATTTATAATATTTTGAAATTCAACTATATTACATGTAAGTCCTTCCTTGCAAAAAAAAAGGAAAGGAAATACTAAAGTTAATTCCTTTTTGGGGGTAGAAATTCGACTCAGGCAAGGACTACAACTAAAAATTACAAACCAACCATGTAACACTTTATATATCATCTTTCTTCCTTCCAAAAAACCACATAATCCTACTTTTCGTTTCTTTCTCACTCCAACGCTACCTTTAAATTCCTCACTTTTCCTACTTTTCTTGAAAGTTTTTTCCTTTTCCCAGGAAAGATTATGGCTACCTGGAGGAGATGTCATGATCAAACAACTTACCGCCATGAATCCAAAAACATGGCCCGTCAACCACGGCACTGGAAGCCTAATGATGTTGTTTATCGTAACGGTGACATGCATGATCAGTCTCAGCCTAATGATACACTGTCATTTGAGAACAATTTCTGCTGGATAGTTGGGGGAATGTCACGGGAATGGTTTGAAGATGCAAAGAAGAACATACATTTGTCGGACAAGGTCATGCAGTGGAATGATTCGGCAGCGAAAGAAGCTTTCTTCGATGCAAAAACTCGACTTTGGGCAGAGTTCAGGAATTGTCCTCCCTATATTTCTCTACCAAGTCCAGATATTTACATCGACAACATTGACTGGAATTCTGATAATGAAACTGAGGATCTTGACGATCAATTCTTATCAATCTCGGACGTGGAGGCTGATGCTCAGGAAGTTGACGGAGATAATGTCTTTCCGGCTAGTTTTTACATACCACTGGATCAAATCAAGGCTACAGGATGGGATGATTTTTAGTTTCAGGCACAATGAATTAAGCTTGTAATAATTGAGTTTTAGAACAAACTTTGTTGTTTTATGATTTTACTATCATGTTATTGTTATTGAATTTTTTGCTATAATAGTTTCTTAACATTAGCTTCTTGTCTATATTTAAAGATATTGCCTTGTTTCATAACTTCAATTCACTTCAGATAAGCCGTTGTTGTTGCAATAATCTTAAAGAAAACAGAATCTGTCAACAAAAGGTTATGATTATTAATCAAAATAGAAAAAACAACCGTCTTGGAACTTAGTTAAAGTTCCCTATGTTTCTATAACTTCAAGCTTCTCTGTGAACAAAATAAAGCTTGCCCATGACATGAAGAACGGCAACAAAAGCTATGAAACCAATGCTCATCACAAGTACAACATTTGGAGAGATCTTTAGTCCTGGCGCATCATCTGTGTAGAACTGAAGCATGGTTCCAGCTGCCCCTCCTGAGGCTCCACCGCCTGTTGTTCTTCTCCGCCGCATGCTTGCAGTAGCTGCTGCACTTCCTCTCGAGGGAGCTGCTCCAGACATTTCTGTTGCCACTGCCAGAGTTTAGAGCTTTCTCATACTTACATTACACAAACACATATAATATAATACAGAACTTTGCCAGATCCAACAGAGGCCAAAAGTAAGGGGTTTTCACTCCACATACTTTTTGCCTTTTATGTTATATTCATTCCAAATGCTTGGAATTACTAACAAATCAAAGGGCAGCTAATGTATTAGGTACATTCTACTCTCCTTATCAAACATAAGATATAACTCACTCAGACAACAGTATGATAGCATAGATAAAAGTCATAAAACCTTGGCAGAAAAAATGAAAATTGAAGAAGTCAATCCAAGCTGTAGTATATATTTACTCTATACTCTATAGTACACATACAAAGCAAGTGAACAAGATTACATGTTTTCTACACTAATCATAATTAGATTTATGCCAAAAGATACATAAGATATTCCGCTCGAACCAACCCCATCCGGTCTCTTTTACCCTTTCAAGCCACAAAACCAGTGAAGGACACTGCTATGAGAAGACTCATTTGAACATTAACTTTCTCAGACACCAGAAAATATTAAGTTCCATGAAATCTAATAACACTTGTAACCACAGGTGCATGTTCGTTATTTAATTTTCTCATTGACTCGTTCCATAATTGAATGTATAGTAATTTACTTAAATCAAATTGGCCCCATTTATGTACCACAAAATCCTCCCTTCCCCATCAAATTCAAATTACAATTTTCTCAAACACATGATACTAAACGAATCATAAAACCGTTCACCAGTCTCGTATGCATCAATTTCATAAACTCAAATTACCAAAATTTAACTCAGCAAGAGCCAGATCCCTGTGATTCAGATTTCATCCAAATTTAATTCACAACCTCCATAAACACACTAAATCGAAATTCCTTTTGAAAGCCAATAACTTGAACAGATAACAGGGATGTTTGCATTAGCTATCAGCTGATAATAGTTTTTATTTATAATCCGATGTATCTAATCCGTTACATTAGAGTCAACAGCTAATAACTGCTTACAAAACATCAAAACAAAACACCCCCCAACATCTCAAAAATCTAGTCGAATTCTAGCAATGAAGAACACAGATCCAGGGAACAAAAAACCGAAGCAATTATTAACCAACATGGTGCAGAAACTACGAACGTACAACAAATCACGAAACCCATTACCTCGAAATGTGTAATAACAATAAGATTATATATATATATTTTATATTAATCTTTTCGATATTTGATAATTATCTTGAGTATTAATTCAGAATCGAATGCGTCCGACTCATTTAAAGAGTTATTCAATACTTGTTTCTCTATTTATAAAACTCAAACTTGAGAATTTAAATAAAAAAAATCGAGTTCTTCCACTTGAATCAACAAGTAATTGGGATAAGATTATAGATATTTTTTATTAAGGAAAATTACCTGAATCTCAATATGTGTGCAGCGGGAGCGATGATTCCGTCTTCTGCGTTTCAGAGTTCCAAGCCCTCTATAAAATCCTACCAACGTGCAAGACATTTGGGCCTTTCCTAGAGAAGAAGTGAGATAGATTTGGGCCTAATCTTTTGAGCTGGATCAAACGCTCTCAGAAAGCAAGGGTTACCCACGTTGATACCCGATTAATGTAAGTCCTACCAAAAAAATTTAATGGTTTTCAATTACATACAAATTTTTTTTTTTTCTGAGTTGGTAAGTAACTTAAAAATATTAATTTAAGGTCAAAATTAATGAATCCTTGTAATGTGAAGTCAGCTAACTATTAATATATTAAAGAAAAAATTAGGGTTAGATTAAGTGATTAAAAATATAATGCACCTTATTGTTTGTATTTAATGTTTCTATTACAAATAAATTATCAATAATAATTTCAAACCGCTAAAACAAATACACGAGAGATAAGAAATCCTTTCATTAAGTACGAGGCTTAAAAACCAAGAAAATTAATTGAAATTATAACAAATGCATGAGTTTATTTT